GTCAGCGCTATGGAAGGCCTTAAAAATTATCAGACAGGGTGCTATGGCTTCCAGCTTCAAATCCACCGCTTTCTGAGTTTGGCGGCTTTCGCCGAAGATTCGATCGAGATATTTGCAAATTTATCTGCAATCGCATCAGTTTTTGATACAATATCACAAATTAATTCTGAGGTTATCACATTGAACGACGCGTGCTTTTATCTGACAGATTTCTTCAAAATCTTGAAGTACTATTGAAGCGTTCTAAAACACCAAATATGTCCTATACCCACTCAGTCACTCAATGGGACATTGATTTTCGTAGCTTGCTTTATGAGAGATCTGCCAAATCTATGCACTAACCTGCCCAACTCTCTTAGTCGATCTTCAAAAATGGGAGGTATTTTGCCGTGCATGTCAGGACCAACATTTAGCAGGAGGTTTCCACCACATGACACCGTCCTCGCCAACTGTTCAATGAGCTCGTGAACAGTATGGACATCGCTGCTCTAAAAAATTGGTTGAGGGTCACCTGATTTTTATTTCACCACATTGCTGGAAGCAAAATCGATGTTACCTAGATGCTGGATTGTTAAATAAAAATCATTGTTAATTACAATAAACATACATATTCTAGCCTATAGAAATTGAGGGTCGGCAAAGAAAAACGAGTATACCGCAAAGATATTTATGTTTGAAATTATTACATTTCCATAACGCGCCTAAAGACGAAAGCGGCATGTTCCAGTCAAAAGCAAAAAGTGAACTATTACTCTGTTACCTTCATTGTTCGCCTGGATCCCCATGCAAATTTGTCCAATGTCATGCAGTTCTCCCATTTCCTCTTGATTAATTTACCTGTAAGTCAATTATTCTTTGAATACCGAAGTGTTACAATAAGTAAGTCAAAATGACGGGTTGCTCTGTGACGCATAGTAGGAGCTACAATGTTGAAAGAACATTCAAAAACTTTGAGCTTTCACTGCTTCAAAGCGCTTTTTCCGGCTCCTTTATTCGCTCACAAAAATGCCTCCCATCACAACTGCGCTCTGACTGGCGATCAGTTATACTCTCCTTATGTGAACTTACCTGGATCGAAGTGATCAGAAAATGTAAGGAAGCCTCCATGCTTGCCAATCGATCCCTGACCCCAGCGATCATTGACCACAACGTTGTCTTTTATAGGACTAAAATAAAAGGGTCTAAATAGTCACTTTGGGGCCTAAATCATACTTACCTTGTGTTATACAGCCAAGCTAGAAATTCTTTGCTTCGCCAGTATTCGTCGCTTTTCTCCCAATCACCGTCACTCCAAACTACTTCCGGTTTGTAACGATTCACGATTTCTAACAGTTGTGGGTAGGAAACTTGCTAAAGTATTCAGTTATATGGGGAAAACGTTTACATAGAAGTTAACCTCAACATAAGCTGTAGTATTGTACTTCTTATCATCAAGATACATTGGATGAAAAAATTCAAACAGTGAGAAGTAGAGTCCATAATGAATGTCGGTCCCTTTGAAGGCATCCTTGAGTTCTCCTAGGGCGGATTTTTAGAAAAATATTGCTTGTAAAAACGAGGTGGAATGATAGACGTACCAACGATATCTCTTTTCGGACCTACATCGACAGAGTTCCAATTCCAGCTAGTTCTTGTTGGCCATAGAGTAAATCCTTCATGATGCTTGCTAGTTAGGACGAAATACCTAAAGTACCTTCTATAAAAAAATGATGAGTTATTGTTATTTTTGAAAACATAAGCAAACCAAATCGAAATAAGAGAAGTTTTCAAATCTGCGAAATTCTCCATGTGCAGTTGCACACCTTTGTGATCTGTTAGAGCAGGC